TAAAGTGAAAAAAAAACTATATATAATACAAATAAATAGCGATGCGTAATCCATGTGATGTGACACAGCACAAGAAGAACTGGTCGCCGCAATCAGATAGTAGTACTAGTTTGGAGTCATGCAACCCTCGCCAACCAGATAGGTACTATTTGGTTCAGGTTGTCCTGGGTAACAGCGTAGCAGTAGCAGCTTTAGGGGTCACCAGATAGAAAATAAATAAGTGAGCATTTACATTTAATACATCATTAGTGAGCTTCATAAATTGATAGATATCCTTTCTTGCTCTGAGCCCTGAATTTAAAGTGTGATAGTTAAACAACATGGACAAAAATTGAGGCACTCTCCTTCATATACATTATTAAGCGAAGCATAGCATCATTCATCGCCATACCACTGGATAAACCATGTTCTGTAACCGATACAAAATATATATAAAGAAAAAAAAGGGAGAAAGCGACAGGAACTGCAAGTTTGTTGGCTGAAACCGCGGTTTCACCCCTGATCATGATCTCCCCCCACACACACGAAAACTTTTGGAAATGAAAATAAGGTAGCCTAGTTATCACTTCACAACCAAAGCATTCCTCGATTCAATCCCGTTGTGGCAGATGCCATCCACACGAAAAATTTGTGACCTGTGGCCTGCTTGTTCTGTTCAGTGGTTGATGCAGGCGTTCTCATCCACCTCCTCGAGAGGAAGCCTCTTCCCTTCGGTGACCTCCTCCTGCGTCCCTTCCTGCTGCAGATAAAAAAAAGCAATGAGTAAAGAAAGAGCCACTAATGACAATGCTAAAAGAGTGCAAACGGTATGAGCCGATTAGTTTTATACCTTTGCAGCAATAAGACATTTCTTGTACGTGCTTTTAAGCTTCCTTAGGCTCATGCTATTATAATCCTGTGGCTGCTGCTTCTGCATCTCCTCTGATTCTCCCTCCTTGAAGGTGAACTCATCCAGGGACTTCACAATGTTGTCAACCTCTTTCGATGATTTTTCAGTAGCATCAGCCTCCTCAGGACCCTCCTCATGCTCTAAACTCATGGCAGAATCATCCAGAGACTTAGTAGTTTTGGTTGCAGATGAAACAGCAGCCTGGCTTTCCTCGAGCACTGGAGGAGAATTGTCACTCTCAGTTTCAGCATCACTGAATATCATGATATTGTCAAACTCTGGTGGTAGGTCGCCACTGAAATCATCATCTTCAGTAGAGGCATCTTCGTTGGCCTCTTCAGCTATCCCAGTTCCCTGCAACATTTGGACTGCACCAGTAGAGCCAATTTCATCGCTCTCATCAGTAGAGCCAATTTCCTCAGTGGTCTCATCATCATCTGAAGCCCATTCCTCATCTTCGTCGAGATCGTCTTCTTCACTGGTCTCATCGTCTGTCAGTTCACCCTGCAGCATCTTAGCAGCAGCTCCTTTTCTCTCTTCACTTACATCTTCATCTTCTTCACTTGTTTCATTGTCTGCCAGCTCAGCCTGCAGCACCTTATCAGCAGCCCCTTGTTTCAATTCAGTGAGGTAATCTTCCTCATCTTCTTCACTGGTCTCACCAGCCTGTGGCATCTCATCAGCAGCACCTTCTTTGCCTTCAGTGAGTATGACTTCACCTTCCTCAATGGTCTCATCTTCTCCCGCAGCAGTCAGAATCTCCTCTGGGGTAGGATCAGTCTCAACAGTGTTAGCAAAACCATCTTCCTTGACGGCCTCCTCATTGATGGCCACTTCCTCATCTTCAGTAACAACCTCCTCACTGATGGCCACTTCCTTATCTTCAGTAACAACCTCCTCACTGATGGTCACTTCCTTATCCTCAGTAACAGGAATGATCTCATCAGTCATCTCCCTTGCTGGTGCAAATTCAGCCAAGTCCTCACAATCTTCAACCGTGGCATCCTGTTCCTTCTCAATAACACCTAGGATGGGTGAATCATCCATGACTGTCAAATGAGCAGATCTCTCAACACTGATAGGTTCCAGCTCTTTCACAATTCCTGACAGTTACGCATCAGAATCAGAATACACAATTAGTAAAAAGGGTTCAACGAGCAGAAACTCAGCAAATAACGACTGAAAAAGCAACAATTAAGAACGTGTAGTACATATACATCAAAGAACTTATGGCCGGATTAAGCATGCAGACAAAGAACAAACGGGTTGATTTCAAAATGTCCTGATTCAGAGCCTCAACAAGACAATAACTACAGATAAATCAAGAAACTAATGGTTGGTCTCCAGTATGCAAACAAAGATCATATGGATAAATTTCAAGATGACATTGTCAGAATCTCAATAACTGCGGACAACAATTCAAGGTACAAACGACAGTATTTGGGAATGCCTCTCACCTTCGTGGGGTTTTGTGGACTGTTCCTCCATGACAACCACCACTTCCTCCACCTTAGGATCATTGCAGCTCTGAACCAAAACAGCTGCAGACGCTGTGGTTGCATCAGAGGAATCAGCTGCGCATTCAAGAAATAAGATCACTGACTGCTTAGGAACTATACCTAACAGTAAATTTCGAATTACAGAGCAAACAAGGAACATTGAAACTTTCAGGATAACAGAGTGCAAAAACAAATTTCACCTTCCTCACCCTCCTCCAGTTCCTCCTCTTTGTTGTCTCCTTCCAAAAACTTGGCAATTTCCTCCTCCTCCTCATCACATTTCACATCCGAGGCAACAGCTACATGATAACAAAAGCAGCATCAAACACTGTCCCCATAAAAATTGAACAGTAGAACCAAAGCAGTCAGGGAAGTGAAATCCTCTAACCCTTTGGTTCCTCTTGCTGCCCCTTCTCCTCCTTTGGGTAATCACATTTCACATCCGAGACAGCAGCTACATTGATAACGAAATCAGCATAAAAAGGCTATCCACAAACAATCGGACAGTAGAAGCAACAAGCAAGTCGATCTGGGAAATGATATCCTCTCACCTTTCGGTTCGTCTTGCGGCACCTTCTCCTCCTTTGATGCGGCCGCCACCACCTCGGCTTCCAGATCCAAAGCTATCGTCATCTTCGATGTCTTTTCCTCGGGTACATCTTCGGCGGGTCGGTCCGCCTCCACTGCCCCCGCGGCCTTGCGAGACGCCGTCCTCTGGCTCCTCCGGGTGGCTGGGGTCGGCGCCACCTCGCCCGTCTTACGAGCGGCGGTCCTCCTCGCTGTTGCGCGCGTACTGCACGCCGGAACCGGAGTAGGAAGCGGCGCGGGCGTGGCCCGAGTGCCGCGGCGTGTGCTGCGCAGCGCCACGCCCGGAGTCTTCACGATTTCCTTCATCTCGACCTCTCCTCCTTCAACCTCCATCCGGATGGCCTCTGGTGATTTCACCGATACGCGACGGCCGCGGGGGAGCGGGCTACCGTGCTGCTGCTCCTCGACGGCCACCACCTTCGCCGCCGACTTCATCGCCGACTTTCCTGGTGTCGGGAGACAGAGAGTCGTACCGATCTCGTCGATCCCGTCGACCTGATCGACAATCAAAACCCCCACATCAACTACCATTTCCAAACCTAACAGGCCTCATGAACGTACACGAATCGAGAACTCACCGAATCTAGTCCCTGGAGCGCCTCGGCCATGGCGGCGTTTGTCATGTTGGCGCGGACGCCGTTGCGCTTGCACAGCGCCTGGAGCTCCCGTCGCGAGAGGGTGTGAAAATCCATGGCCATCGCCGCCTCCATCTCCCCCCTCGTCTGCTTACCTTCTCCTGATGCGAAGGGGTGCGGTGGATTTGTGGATGGGATGCGAATAAGAGCAGAGATGGGATGCGGAGGAGGTAGGCGGCGGAGGGATTATTATATAGGAATGGATCCGACCGTTGCAAGGGGGCTCGTCTAGGGTTTTCCCCTCTCGTTTGAATGTTTGAAAGTTTGAACGCTGCTCAGCTCGGGTCACGGAGTCGGCTTCGCGAAGCTGTTCGGTGGCGTTTAGTGGAGCATGTATTGTCACTGCAGGTGGGGCCCGGAGGTGATTAACGAGTATGCACGCCGTCCACAGCTCCTCCTCCGTTGATTAGCTTCGGTGTGCGAGCGTCGCTGCATGTGGGGCCTGGGGGTGATTAACGAGTACGAATAGTCGAAATCCGGAAGGAGTCTAATTGAGGATGCGTGACAGGGTGTTTTCAAGCTTTCCTCTTGTAATTGCGATTCGTATCGTTTCGATATTTGTTGCTTGGTTTGGAAAATGGTTATCACGTTTAGGTGCGAACAGGTAACCACCTTCCATACCGTTGATCCGTTTAACTTGACGAAGATAGGTGTGAACAAGAAATCAGTCAAAATATTGATCGTTTCGATATTTGTGTTGCTCCACTTAACTTGACGAAGATAGGTGTGAACAATAAATCAGTCAAAATATTGATCGTTTCTTTGTGTTTTCATTTTTTCGTGTAATCAGCGCACCCATACCATTAATCAGAATCGTAGAGTTATTTAACTTGTTGACAGCCATCTCCCAAACACTTAGTACTAGTTGCAAATGTTTGGCATATCCTCCATGAATTTTCTGGCAATCTTGGCTTGCCAAATTATGGGACATCGACACCTTTTTTCGGCAATAAATATGAGATAACTACTCTGGACATGTATCAAAAAAAAAAAAAAAACCAGCCCTAGTGCACTTCATAACTTCACGCATCTTGCCCTTACGGACAAACACGCTGCAGATCAAAAGTCCTACTGAAATGTGGATCCCTAACTAAATATTACTATACTTAGGGAAATTTACATTACCACTGTAACTATGGACAAGGAGAAGCACAGCTGGACAGACAGCTTATACTTGCAGTTGCTTATGTACACAGTAAACTCTTGTATGACACAACACTTACTGCACCTAATCCTTTCTTCATTTCGACAAATGAACTGTACAATTGAGATTTGGGTTCCTATGTCTACAATCCTTCAGTCCGTTGCCATGCCAAGATCTGGCAAGAACTGAGGAACCAATATGATCAATAACCCTGAGAAAGGTGTACTGGAAACTGGTACTTGCATCTATACCCTCACTTCAACTATATCCCCATCCTTGAGCTCTGTTTGGGGTAGCACTACTTGGCCATTAACCCAAAGCAGCTTCCCTTCAACGCCCATTCTTCTAGCAGCGTCAGCAGCTGTGCTACCAGTGCTCATTCTCATAATCTTGCCATTAGGCCAGAATATTATGGCCACCTCACGCAGGATTGGTTTTGTGCAGGTGTTTACACCGAGACTTTTCCCTGCCAAAGATGCGCCACGGCGAACTTGCTCCTCCCATTGAAGCATGGTTCTGAGCAAATGCACCTACGGGAGCACATTGTGGAAACAATGAGGATTCATGTTATTTTCTTCCTTCGGAATACCTCACAATTCCACAGGAAAGAAGAGAGGTAACAGAGAACTGGATGTAGACACTGAATTGTGCAAGAACAACAGCTACAAAATGATTGTAAACAATCTTTCCTTTCTCATAGATGGCCATAGTATGCTAACCTTATTGTTAATGGGATCACTTAATGGAGTAGAACTTGGAGGTTCAGATGATGATTTATCAGCATAACTCAATTCAGATGGTAGACTGCAAGTTTCTTTGCCCTCGAATATGGCAGATACAACCATCCAATACTCTTCCTCTTCCTCTTCCGTCAAATCAATTATTTGAAGAAATGTAGGTAAAAGTCTCCCAAATTGGTCTTGCTGAAACAAGACATCATAGACGAACAAAATATAATCAAACCCATGACATAAATCACATAATGGAGTTTAGGACACCAGCAGTAACTTGTATCTCTAAAATTTCCAGTTTGTGCAATGATTCCAAATGTGCATGCAACATCAGTCTTGCATTCTCAGATAATCTAAAACAGAACAAAAGGCTGAGAAGAAGAAACACAAAGTGATAAAGAGCTAATAATGTTTCAGCTGTACAGACCTTATGAAATATTCCATCCTGGCATAGTGTGTACCTCTCCAGATTTGTTGACCAGTCACCATGTCCAGGTGCACACCACCACTTTTCAGAAACCTGAAATAAGAGTCAGTATTACCATTTAGACTGAAAGTAAGTGATTTATCACAATAACCCCATCAATAGTAAAATTGCTATCACATTGACCTTTTTATGAAGCCTAGCATAGGCTTCCCAACGCTTCAACTGAAAAGATGACCTTAGCTCAGCTACAGCTTCAGAAGCTTCAAGACTAAAACTTACAGCAACAATCAATTCCTTTCCTCCTTTATCTATACTGCAAATTGATTTAAACATATATCAGCTGCAATATTGGTCTTCCAGAACAAATAACAGTTTCTATTTCTGAATGAAGGTATACCTGACTATGACAGCTGCTAGTAAGTCACTACCTTCAATTCTTAGCACTGGATGCCCCACTTTCATAGAACTGTACTTTGATGGGATATCATCCTGTATAGAGATTTCATCTTCTGAAGAACTCGATGAATATGATGTACTTTGGCTTATTCTCTTACTCATGCTACTTCTGTACTCAACTTTGCTCTCCTTATACAGCCAATGAGCAGCAAGTCCATGTTCTGCATACTCATGCATTCGCTGTGAAGAGACCTCCATCAGCATCAACATGAACTATCAGAATTTATTCAAATAAGGGCAAAAAATTATTTACCTGGGTTCTAATCTGGACCTCCAGTGGTGAGCTATCAGATGCCTGAACTGCTGTGTGGAGTGACTATAAAGGGAAAAATGACAGCAAATTAATAAGCAAAGAAGGGAAAGCAGACTATGAACTCAGCAGTCTACTATTTCCTCTCACAAAATAAGTCCATCTAAGTCAAATGTTTGTAACTTTGGCTACCAATATCTATAAAAATATATTATCCTAAATTAAAGTAATTATATTTGAAAGTATTTTTTGTGTTTAATGCTAACCTTGTGTTGCCAATCTATATATAATTTTAGGTATTGATCATCAAAATTCAAGATTGACTTAGGAGTTAGGACAAACATAGATGGACTTATTTTTCAAATTGGAGAAAGTAATTTATAAGAAAATCAATTCAACTCTTGCCAGTTCATGATAGAACTGGTATATTATACTAAGCATGGGTCGCTATTCCAAAACTCAGAATTCTAACTTTTTGAAAATATCATTAGCTACTGGCTGCAGAGGGTACTGCCTAACAATGGATCTTATGTTTAGATGATTCTTACTCGGTAACCGCTACCCTTAGGATTGATAATGTAGTCATCAAACTCCCCATCAATTGGAGTCCATAGCCTGCAGGTGGAGCAGACAATTTACAAAGTTTGGAAGTGAATAAGTAGAAAAGGTTTTAAACTGAAATAAGTGTTGTGTAGTGAATTGTGGACTAAAAAAATCTCAAATTAGCCACAACGAACATTCACAAAACAAACATGGTAAGACCTACTTCATAGGTAATATAACATAAGTTCACCCATGTACAATGTCTTAAAATAATGGGTTCTTTCTTTTTATCGAGTAGCACATTAGTATCTGTAGTCTTATTGATATGAGTAATTCCAGCAATAGATCCATATGTCACCTGTGTACTATATCAAGGATGCTGTAACAACTCCGGACAGCAGGTCCATGCATGGCACCATTTTTGTCTCCGACAATCACCCTCAATGCACGAGCATCATACACTTGCCTAAGTCCTTTATCTTTTCTTTTCATCTGTGGAGATAGAATGTGTTAAGACTAAAAATGAATGCTGCACAAAAGAAAAAAAATAATTTGGTTAGACTAAAAAATCCAGCATAATGTCATATCCAGCCCATTAGGGTCCAAGGAGCAGCACCAAACCTCCCTAGACCCTAGGGCCGGTGCATAAATGTTGACGTGCAGTCCTGTTCCAGTACTTTTCATTCCAGGCCCAAAGTGGCTTAGTTCTGTTAGAAACAGATTAGATTGGTTTGAGTTGTTATCTATTTCCAGAGATCAGGAGTCCCTACCCCCTTTTTAGCCCTGCCCTTGTTGTGCGGCCGTCAGGCATCGGCACGATCACGCTGCTTGGGTTTAGGGCCATTTAAAGTATGTCCATAAATTTAAGTTCATGATGGATGAGACATGTACTTACAAACAACACATATATTTTGCAGTATATAAGTAGTAGTACCTTGCAGTAGAAACTGTACAAGCTCTTGAGTCTACTCGACAAAGTCACTTCCATCCCAGGTATGTACCTGAACAAGAAATTACATAATACAAGTATTAAAACCACCACAATGTTAGTAGTCTTCACAACTAACACGACGAGTCAGCTAGGGGTTAGAGCAAAGAAGTACTTCTCTGAGTTCTCTCTAACTGAACAATGACTACAAGCCCTTTTGTGACCATATTTTATTTTATTTGTCTCTTTTTACATTTCTTAAACTCTGCTTTTGTACTTTACTATCTTTTTAATCTATTTTTAATATATATAAGCAGTAGGGGGCAACTCCTGTTGATTCCTGAAAAAAACCAATTAACACGACAAGGGACAGATTTAAGCATTCTGGACATTAGAAAGAAAAGCTTACGATGTTGATATGAGTAATTCTCGCTCAAGTTCTTCCTCACAAGATGCTAAAGATGCTAATGCAACAGCAGCATCGTCAACTATCTTAGGATTTGGTATAGATTCTCCAGAATTACTATTGAGATTGCTAAGGAAGTATGAACGCCTCTTCCGATCCAAAAAGATGTCAAATGGCAAAACTGCCTGCAATAGGTCCTGCACGTAGAAAAGCAATTTATATATTAAGATATTGGATGTCACATACGGTCAACCTACCCGGCAACAAATGTAAAAAACGATGCATTGATTTCTATTCAAATATATGTTCATATGAGGTAATGGTTGTCATCAACAACAACAACAACAACAAAGCCTTTAAGTCACAAACAAGTTGGGGTAGGCTAGAGTTGAAACCCAGCAGAAACAATCAAGGTTCAAGCACGTGAATAGCTGTTTTCCAAGCACTCCTATCTAAGGCTAAGTCTTTGGGTATATTCCATCCTTTCAAGTCTCCTTTTATTGCCTCTACCCAAGTCAACTTCGGTCTTCCTCTGCCTCTCTTCACGTTACTATCCTGGCTTAGGATTCCACTACGCACCAGTGCCTCTGGAGGTCTCCGTTGGACATGTCCAAACCATCTCAACCGGTGTTGGACAAACTTTTCTTCAATTGGTGCTACCCCTAATCTATCACGTATATCATCGTTCCGTACTCGATCACTTCTTGTATGACCGCAAATCCAACGCAACATATGCATTTCCGCAACACTTATCTGTTGAACATGTCGTCTTTTCGTAGGCCAACATTATGCACCATACAACATAGCAGGTCTAATCGCCGTCCTATAAAACTTGCCTTTTAGCTTCTGTGGTACCCTTTTGTCACATAGAACACCAGATGCTTGGCGCCACTTCATCCACCCTGCTTTGATTCTATGGCTAACATCTTCATCAATATCCCCGTCTCTCTGTAGCATTAATCCTAAATATCGAAAGGTATTCTTTCTAGGCACTACTTGACCTTCCAAACTAATATCTTCCTCCTCCCGATTAGTAGTGCCGAAGTCACATCTCATATACTCAGTTTTAGTTCTACTGAGTCTAAAACCTTTGGACTCCAAGTCTCCCGCCATAACTCCAGTTTCTGATTCACTCCTGTCCGACTTTCATCAACTAGCACTACATCATCCGCGAACTGTCATATGGAAGAAAAATGAAAAGAACAAATATGCCACAAGGAAGTACAAATGAGAATGCTGAAAAATGTCAATGTTGATCAAGTGGGAGCAAAAGAGTGTGCAAGAATCACATTTGCAGTTTTACAATGTACTCACCTTCATATTTGGTTTTTCTTGGTTGCACAAACTAAACAAATCATTGATGGACGTCATATGCCCATCTTTCATTGAGGCAAGCAATTCGTTTCGAAATGATGATCTTCTCATATTTTTAGATTTTCCAGTACGACTCCACATTAAAGTAAGTTCAGATCGTATTTTCTTGAAGATTTGAGGCTGCACAGACACAGAGGTATTTAATAATAAAACTACACAGATAGATACAGAAAAAATAGATTCCAAAAGCAAGTTGATTTAAAATAAAGGGTAAATGCCAAATCGTTGCAGCTACAAAACTGAGAGTATAGGACCCAAGCAAAGATGTGAAAATGTAGATGATCATCAGGGTCATATATTAGGGTGTGCAACATGTGCGACTGTTCAGGGCCTCCAAAAAATTAGGGCCCCCCAGATGTACATCAACTACTAATTAACAAGGTTTAATAGTTATTAGAAAAAAATATTAGTTGCACACGCTAGAGCATGAAAGGCTCAAACCCCACTAACTAAGGCTCAGGCACCCACCAGCCTCCACTTTCAGGCATGCGTTTGGATCCTTGGATGTTGGATCAACGGTGACTACATGTACGTGAGTAGGCGTCAGGTGAGGCGATGTTTTATTTATTTTTTCTTTGCTTTTCGCTTCTGCTTGTCCCACCGTGGACCACGCTAGGGCCGCCAGTGCCGTCACCAAGATGCTGATTACCTGCGCTGTGCCGCCAGCCGCCAATGCCAACACCAATGGTTCCATCAATGGCAACTAGGCAAGGTAGGCATACATCTCCTCGTCCAGCCATCCCCAATTGGCCAGTTGTCGCAAATGAATTGTGTATTATTGTATAGCAAACTAGTGACTAGCAAATTTTGCATGTTTGTGTTCTGCTGTATTTTCAAATTTTAGGGCCCATATTTCTTCGCATCGGGGCCTCCAATTTCTAGGTACGGCCCTAAAGATCATCTTAGGTTTGTGTGCTTTACATGAATTTATCCATTTGTTAGTAAAAAGATTTCGGACAAGGAAATTATTTCTTTTGAAAAAAAATCAAAGCATCTAGATGCCAGTTAAACCGTGGAAGTTCTATGGTATAAAGTAAACATTTCACAGTTAACTAATATGTGAATAAAATTAATACCTGAAGGACAGCAAAGCATAAATCTTCCAGCTCAGCTTTCAAAGCCCAGACTCCCAATCGAGAAGCAAGTGAGCACCAGACAGCCAATGTCTCTTGAGCAACAGCTTCAGCTTTAGGTACAGGAAGAGCATAACTGCAATAAAGTTTTCCACAAGGATCAAAATTTATGGAATCCAACAGCTATTTGAAAGCATAGTGAAGTCAAGAGTAGGAGCATTGAAATCATTTGAACTGTCTTATGACACTGATATGCTGAAATGATTCAAGGGAACACAGTAAAACTTTTGCAATGGGTATGAAGCACAATAAGGTAGTCTGTAAACCTGATGCCTAGACTGGAGCCGATGGAAATGTTCATGGAGTATAGATTAATGAATAATGAATTTTCTGCATCAATTCCTTTGCATAAATAGCAGCAGATAAAATGAAAATGTTGAGGAGAGGCAGATAATACAGAAACAGGAATCCAATTATCAAAATTCACCCTTCCTTCTTTTCTTGAAACCTAATGTGTTTATCTAATATAGATCCCTACTCCATTTTAATGTTCATTCTCCGTGACCATACCAGTGCTTTGAGTATGTCTTGCCATTTTCTGAAGAAAATATTAGAAACTCACGACAGAACATAACATGGAAAGGGAACATGATGAACAAAGAGAATATAAATAAGAACTGAATCCCTAAAATACTTCAGATCACAAAGGTGATTTTACATTTAGGAAACAAGTAATAAGCAGGACATGCTAAATAGTGATGAAAGGCCTAGAGTGGCATACATTGTCCGCATATTGTGCAAGCGATCTGCCAGCTTGATGAGCACCACACGAGGATCATCAACCATCCCCAATAACATAACACGTAGATTATTTGCCTGACTGACAACAAGAGGATAATCAAACCAGGGCTTTCAAAAAGCAGTTTTATATACTTTTCTGGCATCTCACAGCAGTTTTGTCAGAAGCATGCTGATATATTGTTTGAACTCATGCATTAACAAGAAAAATCATGCAAAAAGACTGATGATTGACAGTCTACATAAGAAGAGCACTGAAATTGTTCAATATAGTCTCATCACCATGTAATAAAGGCTAGTGGAAGGGAACATACTTCTTCTGAAGTAAGAGTGCTCCCACCGGTATTTTTTTGTCGATGCCTGCGAAGTAGCTGCAGCGCACAGAAAATAGTAATGAACAATAGCAATAGTTCCTGAGGGAAGTAAACTGCTTCCTCCAATGTCATACAAATAAACTTAGATTTAGTCTGAAATAGGTCTTGTTTTTATTGTAGGCGGTGTTTTCCTAAAAACACATATTAAAAGCTACTGAAAACTGTAGTTTGGATCCAATGAGTGTAGTGGGTCAGCAGATTGGGTTACATTGATTAGATGTCTGAGCAATCAAGGTGGGGTAAACAAGAAATAGGTACAGGAATTGATTGATTCTTTGGTTCAATATGTTGGTTGCTAAAATGACATTTATAAAGATTTCTGCGATGCAGTGCACTAATGAAGTTTTTGGACAGATCAATATTAGAAGAGCTAAGTTAAACAACAAGGAGTAAAGGAATTGTCATGTATGAGGTGCATAATGGATAGTTTAGCATGCTTCAACTATAACAGATAAATAAAAGAGATGAAAATTTGCATCGAGTCTCAATCCATATCAACAGGGTATACATCACCTGGTTTATGTAGCTTAATTTTGATACACCAGATACCAAACTAGCAACATCATCCCCAAACTGCTCTTCTATGCTCTTCAAGCTCTCTGATGTATCACAAACAACATCGTGAAGAATGCCAGCCACAACTGTGTTAACAGCCTATAAGGGAAGAAAGAAGAAAAACACTCATCAATTAAGCTTGTGAAGAAAAAAAAATGAAGGATGTATTCTCGGAAGACAGAAGGAGAGGGAAATACTCTTTCTCCAGTTGATGGAACCAAGGCAGCTAAAATTTTTCCAGTATGTATGCAGTGTGTAACATATGGATCTCCTGTTCTCCTAAATTGCCCAAGGTGGGCTGTACTAGCAAATTCTATTGCTTTCTGCACCTTTGGATCCTCAAATATCTGGTATCCTGTCACCTCCACTCCTTCAAATATAAGAGTATCTGCTAAGGCGCATAATACAAATATGAGATAGTAATCATAATGAATACAAACATTGACGATCAGAATGAAAACGAACATTGACAAGGTGAAGATCCTGTAGTCACAAAATTGTTATCAGCTAATTACATCAACAATTCTAACTAAGAACGTTTCGCCCAAGAAACAAACCCTACAAAGTAGGGGCCAAAGTAGATTATTTCTTTACTACATCAAACTACATAGCACAAAATACATCCAGTGAGATAGCATAAGTATCTGGCATTCTCATATTGAACAAAATACATTTCGATGAAATAAGACAACAATTGAAATCAGCTAAGAGGCAATGGCGTGCTCCACACTAAAGCATAGTTGTATGTTCACTTCATTCCAAAAGAAATGTGCGCACATGTCACTGAACATAACTGCTCTGCTTACAGTGGCAACTGTTTCAACAAATGAGTGCTTAATGAAACGTTCTTACATAGCTTAATTATGCAGCCGATACGGCCAAGTCACTATAAATCTACACAATTGCACGTCTGTTACCTGGCAACTGCTCGATGCGAGGCCAGAGGAAGTCGACCTTGGTTGAGAGGCACGCCCCCGATGCAATCGCCACGGCCGTGACGGCGACCTGCGCGAGCGTCGACGCCACGGCGCCGTGCGCCGCGCCGCTTCCCCCCGCGCCCGCGGCGGCAGCCGCCGCGATCACCTCCCGGGCACCCACGAGCGCGGCCGAGGCCACCGCGAGCCGCGGCGCCACGTGGTCGACCAGCACGCACCCCACCGTCATCCGCGCCCGCGTCGTCGTGCCCCCGCGCGCGACGGTCGCCGCCGGGAGCAGCGCGAGGCGGCGGCCCAGCATCCCAGAGTCGGAGACTGCAGTGGACGCCGGCGACTGCGTCATGCGAGCGAGCCGGGGGTGGGTGGGGGGGGGGGGGGGGGGGGGGCGGTCCCGCTTCTATCTCATCCTCGCGAGTCGCGACGAGGGTCACTCACACGGCACGGCGCGCGAGTGGCGACGAGGACTGGAGGGTGAGAGCACGGGAGGAGGGGGTGGTCGGTTTGTGTGGCTGCGGCTGGGAACTGGGTCACGGCCTCACGGGGCACACGGCGAGTGGCGTTTGCTTGCTGCTTTGGCTGTTGCGACGTTCGTCAGCGTCACCTGTCACGGTTCTTTCCTCTTCCTCTACCTGTCCTCCTAGCCTCACGGCTTGGTTTTCCAAGATATTTTTATCGTCATTTATTTATACTGGCTACACATATGATTGAAGATTCTTTTAATAAAAGGAATGGTACAGATACAGCCTACGTTGGCTGTTCTCGGCCTGGATTATTCATGAAGTATTAGGCACTGCACCAAATAAAATCCCCAATACACATCACATGTGTTCTGGAAGAGAACATACATTGGCCGTTCTCGATCTGATTATTCATACAGATATTAGGAACCGCATCAAATAAAATTACCAATGCACACCACATGTGTTCAGACCATTAAGCACATTCAGCCATCATTTTAGGATGCCCGGGCCTCTTCTTTCGTTTAATAAACTCAATCCTGATGAATGGCCATCAGATAGATATAATGACACCAATTTGTTGAGATAAATTGTGTTTGCCAACTTCAATTCTCATATGTGACAGCCGGTTAGCTTTGTATGAACTCAGCAACGAAATTTACAAGGTCTATACCACAGGTTAGATCACTGACAAGAAATCCCCAGGGATTAGTACAAATACATGACACAAAAAATAAAAACAAAAATGCTCTTGATCCATTATTACTAGTATCAGCCTAAGGATCTTACAGGCAGACTTGCTTCTTAGAACAACGATGTCCCTCCAGAAGGTAGGCGACCTGAAGCTTGCAATTCCTTCAGTGTGCTTGCCAGCCAGTCCAACCCCTCATAAAGGCCATCACCTTTGAGCGCACAAGAGCCTTGGATGTGCCAGATGCGATTCTTCAAATCGTAGAGGCCAAGGCCCTCACACACCTCCACTGGTGTCATTGCCCCTTTCTAAAAACAAGGAAAATTACATCAGGGAGCAGCAGCTAGCATAGGTGTACTCACTAAGTGCAGAGGGTGCAGATGCACAAGAACATATCTGATCAAGACACAGACATATTGTTCACATATTGTCCTTAACAACAGACCAACAAATGAAGCGCAGCTTGCAGCCAGCAATGATATGTTTCATGGCAGAGTATACTTTTCTCTTGCAGCACTCACCATAAATTGGGGATGCCAGAGAAACGCAATCACATCTACACATAAATTAAACTAAACACTGGGAGTTAAATCAATGCATTACAAGATAATCTGTTAAGGTCTGAGCGAACCATTCTTTAAGATAACAGAGCCTGATCGCAATGCAGTGAGATGCATTGATGTTCAAACTGAAATGAAGGTGTCTCTTGGTATATGAATTGATGTTCAAAAGGCTTGGCATCAATTTCAGCATAAAATAAATGTTCTGAAATTTACAATCATATCTGAAGACAAGTAAAGGAATTTTTTCACAGGCAGACAGATATAATATATCAAAGCAGCGTTTGCACGGTTGAGTAACTATTCATTTTCACGAATATTCGTGTTAAAAGAAGGGGTCAAGTGTGGTTGCCTCACCATATCTTGCTTATTGGCAAATACCAATATGACACTGTTAAGCATCAAAGGATCATTGATTATTGCCTACAACAGAATTGTTCAATATTAACTTGGTTGAAGAAATTGAATTCAGCTATAAGCAGTTCTGACTGACAATTTACATACCTGAAATTCAGCTTTGGCTTTTCCAATTCTCTCCCGATCTAACGAATCAACTACGTAGATCTGCAACTCCGAACATGCATAAAGAGTCACCATGTATAACTGGTCATAACCATAAACCCAACAAAACTCTGGAATTTGAAAATGGTATCTCGAGGAAGAAAAGCAGCAATGGATGTAGAATAATGTTTCACTGAAGGGAAATGGTAACTGCCCTAAAGATTACCAGTGATGAGATTGACATTACAAAATAATTTCAGGAGTATCCCCACAAACTCAAGAAGTGAAGCATAAATAACCCAACCCGTTAAGCAGAACAATTACAAAGTAGAGAGTACAGATCAATATCATCATTTTATAAAGGTCTTAAAAGAATAAAAGGAATAAAACATACCAAGCCATCAGTATTGTTGAAGTAGTGCCTCCACAAGGGCCTCAACTTTTCTTGGCCACCAACATCCCAAACAGTAAACATCACATTCTTGTATTGAACTTTCTCGACGTTGAAACCTAGTAGTAGCATCAGAGAGATATCATCACACAAAAATTTGCAGGCAAAGTGAAACATCGTTCTTTTTTAATTGTCCTCATAAAACCCTTATAAGAAAATATACTAGTTCATATGGTATTCACGTTTACCAGACGAATTGATTGGTTACTAATAGAAGGCTATTTATAGAACAGCAAGTGTTTCACTGGAGGAAATATACTACTATTAATCTAAGAGTGCTCAGCTAATCATTTGGGTACATCTGTAGTAGCAAATTCGGCAAATCGCAACCCCCATATAGAACGAGCATCAAATTCTTTCACCCCACAGCAGAAACCTCCTTTGCCTTGGCAACACATCCGAAGCCCTGCTAATATTAATTAAACTAACAAAAAACTGAAGGAATTCCTGAAACAGATAACCTACCAATCGTGGGAACAGTCGACAAAACCTCCCCAATATGCAGCTTGTACAAGATGGTGGTTTTACCGGCGGCATCCAGACCAAGCATCACAACCTAACAAGCAAGCACGAAATCACAGTCAACAAAATGATACAGGCAGTTCGTTGAAAGTACAACCAAATAGCGAAAGAAAATCGCGGGCGAAAAGATCAGCAGACCCTCATCTCGCTGGTGCCGAAGAAGGCATCGAACAGCTTGCGGAACGCCTGCCCCATCGCCGCACCGAAATCAACCCCTCAACGCGCGAGCACCAAACTTCCGATCGGATTCTGGAACTTCGTCTTCTCCAAGTCGCCGGAGTTGATGAAAGCAGCCAAGCAGGTGGAGTTTTCGGTTCTCGGATTAGCCTCGCAGAACTAGTCGTGCAAAGTCCTGTGACGAAGCATAGAAGTTTCGCGAGAATTTTTTGCCCGTGGGGTGAGAACACATCTGAGCCATTTGCGCGAACACGAGCGGTTGGGATGCAGAGATGACATCGCGTAGCGAGCACGCGCTTCTGCGCTTCCGTCCCGTCAAACGATGCGTACGGCGGCGCTTACCGGGCCAGATAAGATCGGCGCGTGATGTAATAATATATAAGCCAGTTTTTTTTTTTGATCAAGTGATGTAGGCCTAGTTGATCTCAAGGCCCAGCTACTACGTTAGTAAATCTGGAACCTTTTCCAACAGAACGTCACTTCGTGGGCGTGTTTGATTTCTTAGAGGTGTTTGGTTCCCTCCTAATTTTTATAGGAGAATTTCTATTCATCTATCGGATGTTATTGTGTCTCTTAATCAATCAGTTTTCTATGGCTATGATTCTGTTGAGATTCGTGCATTCTGAGGTGTGTCTTTGTTTCTGGGTCACTTCCCTGCGTGACGGGCTTGTTTCCATGTACTAGGCCCATTTCAGTCCTTTCTTTCATTTTTTATTCCTTTGGTCGATTCAGACAATCGGCGGAGGAGATAGAGTGCGCTTTGTCCGGAGACGGAGGCGTAGGTGCCGACTCGAGCGCGGGCTCTGGCGTCGCCGGAGGTGGAGGCGGAGGCGGAGGCGGAGGCGGGGGCAGGGGCGGGGGCGGGGGCGGGGGTGGACGTGGACGTGGACGCGGACGCGGACGCGAGCTCCTGCTCTGGCGTCACCGTTGGCGAAGGATTGTGCTTCTCTCGTCGTCTCCGTCGATTACTAAAGCTGAAGGTGCGTGCTGTCATCTGTCTCCTAGGTGATTTTGGATTTCAATCATTTTGGTTCGTCAACATTTTGTGTTTGCGCGGACGCACGGGTCAAATGGTGTACCAACGGAAGGTGGATGAGTTTGATTTGGTGACCAGCTAGTTTTTGGGCATAAGGATTGGAGGAGTGTGTCTGCGCTGCTGGACGCTACCTTAATGTAGTTGTAGCGCATGCTGTAGGAGAGTTTCATGGAGCAATACTCTGACTCCTGCCACTTGATTTTTTGTTTTTGTCGCCTGCAATAGCTTCAGATCCTAAGGCCTTGTTCAAGCAAGTGGTAGGTTATATCCGGTAGTAGCTTCAGGAATCCATGCTGGAGACTAATAACGTGTGTTGAGCAGGCCAGCGAACTCCTTTTTTCTGTATTGTCTGTGTTTTAGATTCCAATATATGTTAGTTTAGAGTTTGAGGTTCAATGTTTCAGTTGTCCCTTCAATGTTCAGTGGTTCAGATTTCAGTATTTTAGTTTTTCAATTTTTAGTCCAGAATATTTAATTTATTGTTTGCATGTTTTTTTGGTTCAGATTTCAATTTAATTTTCAGTCTAGATTTCAGTATTCAATTTTCAGTACTGATCGGGGACCGATTTCTTGGTTTGGTGCGTGCAGTTACGTCAACAACAAGTTCAGCATGCAGTAGAAGGCCACCATCGGCGCGGATTTCATCACCAAGGAGGTCTTGATCAACGACTGCCTTTTCACATTGCAGGCCTGCATGATTTGTAAGCAAACAACGGAGGTAGCGAATAGAAGGAGCAGCATCATGTTTTATATTTTGTCTTGTGTCCATGTTGCAGCAGCAGCACTGCAATGCACATCTAAAATCTCAAAAGTTAAAATACTGGGTTTATGCAGTATAAATGCAAATACATCCCTGCCAAATGTTAGTCTAAATGACAATTGGGTTTATACTGCCAGACTGATGCATTCAGGCATGTGCATTTGGGTTTATGCAGTCTGATGCCATC